GATTACTATTTTAATATAATATTGATTCATAAAATCACTAAATTTTTCACAAGTGTGTCATATTACTATAATTTCCTGAATCTCTGGATTATCATCTTAATTCTTCAGAAGTGTTTCTTCTCATTGAAAACTTAAAAGCAACATTCAGGAGAATGTAAACATATTCATGTTGTTTGCAACTGATTAGCTCAAGCTATTTAATTAACTTTGGCAAAGTTCAATATCATATGTTGGATTAATGAAGTGGACTCTGAAACTCATTTTTTTAAACTATTTTTTATTGAGGTACTGTTGATTATGAAGTTAGTCATAGCACCTAACCTTACAATCAACCATGATCAAATTCCATATATACAATTTTCCTGACTTCAAACCCCATCACCAGTGTCAGAGATCACTCCCACCTGGGATCTGGGGCCAAATGGGGTGCCAGGTACCAAACTTAGATCAGCCCCTTTGCAAGGCAAATGACATAACTGCTGTCCTATCACTGGCTCCTGAAGCTCATTTTGATAACCCTACTAATCCATATTTTTGGTCCACAATACATAACTTGAGGTTGCATAAGCAAAATTGACAGAGAAAGTACCCCTAAAAATTATCTTTCCCAAAGCAATGAGAAATAAATATCCTGCAACTATCCTATAAATCAGAATTCTGGCAGTCACTAGCAAATGCTTTTGGAGTTTCTTTAAAATCACTTTGTTAAAAGAGAAACAGTATTAGAACTTTTATCTGTGGTTCAGTAGCACACGCTATTTGCTAGGCAGTCTTATTGACTTGAATAGGAGTTAGTCTAATGTAAACTACCTCCTCTCTCTGGACATTTGTTGAAACTATTACAGGCAATTGTTTAACATCACAGTTCTTTGCCTAGTTTGTAATGATTGGGAAAAACAAACCACAAACCAAAAGTTGTAAAAAAAAGGAGCGGAATGAATATGCATAAAATATTTTGAAATGCTTTTCTATATTTCTGCAACTCTTGAAAAACATACACCTAGAACTGCTCATCTGACTAATATCACAAAAATGCTCAGAAAAGACCAATGAATCTAATTCTGGAATAATTGGAGATTTAATGTAAGCAGGAGGTGAGGACAAAGTTTGAGTTGTAACCTTCTGACTGAATATAAAAAATTGCATCACAATGCACACAATTGCGCATAAAAGAAATATGTTTTAAGAACTATTGAATCTGTTCAATTGTCATCTGACCATGAGAAAAACCATGCAATGATCAGTGGGAATATATAAAAAATATAGGCAGAAGATGACTTTTATAGTTTCCTTCTTATTGGTCTAAAAGCTTATATTTGGATCTGTGTGATCTATATAAACAACTAAAAATTTCTATGGTACTATGAAAGACCCACAGGGATATAGAAACTGTGAGAGAAAGAAGGAAAAAAAGCTGAAAAAATTTTTATTTTAAAATATGCTACCAAGAAATGGTAATTAAAATATAGTAGCTATTAAAGCAAATAAAGGGTACTCAGACACACAGATGAACTAAAATAGAGCTTTCCCAAATATATCCACATAGGTAGATACATATGTATATAACAAAGTTACAACACCATACACAAAAATTACTCAAAATTGATCAATTATTGGTATCACTGTATCACTGCCATCTCGTTAGTCATGGATTTACTCAAGCGGGTGCCAGTAACGTCTTTATTCCTCCCAGCCCTAAGATTTTAGCAACCTTTTCCTACTCGTCTTTCCCAGTGATTGGAGGCTCTTTTAGGGTCAGGGGAATGAGACCTGTTATCATTATTATTATCGTTTATTATATTATTGAATACACCACGGGGAACTTGCCAGGTTCTGCCCATGCGGGAGGGATACTATCGGTAACTTGCTGGACTCTCTCTAATATATATATATATATATATATATACATATATATATATATATTTCTATGATTTGTTGCCTAATGTCTGAACCCCATCAAATAAGGTGTGGTAATTATGGAAAATGGGTAGGAAGTGTCTTATGATGCAGCCTTGCGGTCTGGAAAGCAACCTGGAGCATGGCAGAGGTTGGGTAGTGGAGGTTGGCTGTAGGGCTGGGTCACTTGGAGCAGGGAGGGCTCTCACCACCCCACTCTGGGGCATTCCGAGTGAAAACAGCCTGGCGCAGAGTCTGGAGGCATGGTTATGGGGGTCTCATTTTATGCTCCCTTTCACGAGGAGCAGCCATGAATTCTGGAGGATGGCCGATGATGAGATTATCTGGCCCTGACAGGGAGTGGCTTGTGGGTGTGATCCCTAAGTCGCCTGAGACTGGGGAAAGCAAGCAGAGGATCTGTGCTCCCGGTCCTGTTGAGCCCAGTGTCTAAGGTCACAAAGTTCCATGTAATGTGAGTTCTGTGTGATTCATTCCTGCATGTAATGACTGGAATGGGAAGGAATGGGAGTGAAGATAGATGGTTGGCAACTACATCACCTCCACTTTGCTGATGACATCGTTCTAATAACACCAAATATCAGCCAAGCGCACAAATGCTGACTGACTTCGACCATGAGTGTGGAAAGGTCAGATTACAGCTGAATCTCACAAAAACAATGTCCATGAGAAACAGTCTTGTTCCTGACGTTCCATTCACTCTCAATGGAATGACCATCTCCAAATGCAATGGTTATGTGTACTTAGGTAGAGAAGTCAACATGATGAATGACCTGGCACCTGAGTTGTGCAGGAGGAAGAGACTGGCTTGGAATGCCTTCAAGAGCATCAAAGAAATAACTAAGAGAACAGAGTACTTCCAGCTCCGGGCACATCTCTTCTATTCCACTATTCTTCCTGCATTAACATATGCCTCAGAGACCTGGGCCCTACAAAATCAGGATGAGAACACTATTTGGGTCTCTCAAAGAGGAATCGAAAGAGGTGTGCTTGGAGTATCACACTTCACTCAAATGAGAGAAAGAATCCAGAGTTCCGACCTCCGTCAATGCTCAAGAATCAGGGACGCTGTCTCATTTGCCAAGATATCGAAAATCAGATGGGCTGGACATGTAATGAGATTTAGAGTCAACCTCTGGACTGGGGTCATTACCAACTGGATTCCAGAGGACATCAAAAGATCGTGTGGCCGCCCACCTATGAGATGGTCAGACTTTTTCATCAAGATCCTGAACAATCGATTTGAGGCTCTTCGTGTTCTTCAAACAAGCAGATGACATTGGGCTATGCAAGCATGCAACAGGGATGAATGGAGATGTTACTGGCGCCCGCTTGAGCAAATCGATGAGTAATGGGATATCAAGTGATCAAGTGAAAGTATATTAAAGTTTAAGAATAATTGAAAAGAATAATTACTCTGCATTTTCAAGGTTTGAAATGGCTTATGTTGTTAATAAACTTAATTCTTTTCTTTATTAAAAAATTACCTATGATGACTTGTTTTCTATACTTTATTGCTTTGCTATGAACTAGCAAGAGGAGTAGGATTGAGTCTCCCTTAACATTGTTTATAACTGCTCATTTCTTTCAGAATTTTTCAAGATTTTTATTTGTACATTCATTTACTACTGTTTGCTGAATTTGAAAAACAATGCCATTCAGAATATATCCTAACTGTGGATTTTTGTCATTTATGTATGGTTCTGTTTATCTTAGTGAATACCATTTGTCATGAATTTCACTTATTCAATACTGATTTGGGAACTGTGGCCTTGTATTTTGTCTCAAATAAAAAATACAAATACAAATAAAAAACTGTGGCTTTGCATTTTGTATTTTGGCACAAATGCTTTTCTTAAAAAGTATCTGTATCTTATTTGCTTTGTGTTTTCTTTCTCTCAGGCCCAGCAATGGAATCAGAGTCAGCTGGATACAAGGCAAGACACTTTATCTCTGTACTATCTCTTAAGGCCATTTAAACACTATTTTTTTCACTCCACATAATAAGATGGTTATATGATGGATAGAGTAAGTTTTATTGTTGATTTTATTTGAGCCATTTTTGTATATTTGCATAAGTTTTATTTTCCTACTCCACTATTTTCTTTTTTTCTCACTTTATTGTATATGCTTTTCTTAATTTGTCCCCTTCCAAAACACATGGTGTGGAATTTCAAATGTCTTTATTGTGTATTATCCTTATTATTTACTTTAAAATATTTTATAATTTCAATAATACTCTATATTAACACTTATTTTTAAATTTATTAATTCAAAAATAATTCAGTATCCCTGAATAATAGTGATTCAGATTGGCTTCTGGATTTTTGCTCTGATCTGTAACTATATTTAGCTTTTATTGAAGTGTCATGTTTTTCTTCTGCAATGGAATTTCTCATATCCTTTTCTCAGAAATCCATATTTAATAAAATACATGATCAACACTGATAGTGATTCAGTCACTTAATCTTGTATTGTTGCATTTTGTATGCTCATATGTTGGTTAATTGGATTCTTTTAGCAGGTAATTTCTTTAAGAAAAAAAAATTTCATGTAGAGTACCTTTGCCCTTTTTGTGTGAGAATATCTTTTAGACAACTTTCAGTTCTGCTTTTCATAATACCTATGTTATTAGTAAAATAATTTTCTTTTAATTTATTTTAGGTACACTAAACATTTATGTGTTGTACCATTGTTTTGTTTTCTCCATTTTTATAAACTTTAGAAATGTTTTCATTTTTCTTCTTTCTCCTTGTTCTCTAAATTTTATTTAACATTTTCTTGTGTATATTTTCCCTGTAACATTCTCAAGTTTATGACTTGAGTATGACTTCCTCTCTTCTAATCTTTTTTTTATCTATTTAGTTATATTAAACTTACACATTTAATCTTTGCTTTATTTCTTTCAGAGGAAAGCACTTTACAAAATTTTTCTTACTTTAATAATTTTTCAATTAAGTATTAAGCTTTCTTCTTTACTTATATACTTTATTCATTTTTTACTTATGTTTTTATTTCATTTTCTCTCCCCGTTGTTCTTTCCTTTCTATTTCTTTCTTTCTTCCTATTTGGCAGAATCCAGGAGATGGAGGTGCCGGGGATTGAACCCGGGGCCTCGTGCATGCTAAGCACACACTCTACCACTGAGCTACACCCCCGCGGCTGGAGCGATAGCACAGCGGGTAGGGCGTCTGCCTTGCACGCAGCCAACATGGCCGACCCGAGTTCGATTCCTCCACCCCTCTCGGAGAGCCTGGCAAGCTACCGAGAGTATTCGATATGCCAGACACAGTAACAACAAAGTCTCCAATGGAGACGTTACTGGGCCCGCTCGAGCAAATCGACGATCAACGGGAGGGCCTTTAAAATTAAAAATTTTCCTATTTGGCATTATATTTGCATTGTTACTTGAAAATTTTGTTTAATCTCACTCATCTGTTCTTTTTATCAGTTTTTACTAGTTCAAATTTATTTATTCTCTAGATTTCCCCTCTTGTTCTGTGCTGAGTCTGACCATTTTGAATGACATCAATAGGCTTCTATACTCTCTGACTTTATGTTGACTTGACCTATGTATGGTAAGCCCTATGAAATGTCCTAGAAGGAGACTCTCCTTGTACATCAGGCCTTGGTCGAGGTTTGCAACCTTGACCAGACAGCTTTCCAGCTCAGATTAATCTACATTTTTCCCTTTGAGGCCTTATATAGAAATAGTTCCAATGTAAGCATTGCACTATTTCCTTCTTTATTTTTTTCTTTAGTTTTAAGACCATACCTGGAGGTGCTCTGAGCTTACTCATGTAATCTAACTCCTTTCCCAGTTATTAAGAGTCTTTGTTAACATAGAGAAAATATATGTAAATTATTTTATTAAAGTAGCATAGGTGTGACATTGAAATTACTCTGATAAAATGATAAAACTCACTCTGAGTTCATCACTGAGAAATGTTATATTAAGTAATTATATTACATTATATTAATTATATTAATATTGTAATATTTTGTTGGAATCTATCCAACTTATTTAATACTACATTTGGGCTGTAGTTTTATATGTTGTCAACACTACTTGCAACAATATTACTCGATTGTCTTGATTCCAGGTATGTCATTATTTAGATCTCTACTTCTTTCTAACACATATTTATATATTTTATAGTTTACAAACAGAGTGGAATGATTGGTATTCCAATGTAATATGTTCAATCATTTTCAGAGATAGAAAAGATGTTGATTGAAAAACAAAGGTTTGACATCTAAATGTCAGTAATATACTAGATTTGTAAAGCAAACAGAGACTATAAATACAAGTTTCTGAAAGTTTATTATATTAAACCAAGATAGAAGGCAAGGATTGTCAGTGAACACTAGACAAATGTCATAGAGATTCACTTTTTGAAACTGATTGACAGTCAAACTGATGGATGTCAGGAAGACATTTAATAACTGAATCTGATGTGTTTTGGATAATATTCTTTCCATTAGAATAATAAATAGGCTGAAGTGATAGCACAGTGGGTAGGGCATTTGCCTTGAATTCGGCCGACCCAGCCGACTTGTGTTCAAAGTCTCTGCCCCTCTCAAAGAGCCCAGCAATCTACCGAGAGTATCTTGCCCACACAGCAAAGCCTGGCAAGCTCCCTGTGACCTATTTGATATACCAAAAAACAGTGACAAGTCTCACAATGTTACTTGGCCTGCTTGAGCAAATAGATGAACAATGGGAGGACAGTGACAGTTACAGAATAATAAATCTGGAAAAACGTCTCATGTGCAATACTTCAGTATTTCTATAGAGTAAATCTATGATCTGGATTGACAAACGTCTTGCTAGCACATGTAAAGATAATGCTTCTTATGCAAGTAGAGTTTTAGAAGATGCATCTCTTTATCACTTTCACTTACTTAGGCTGTATAAGTGAAAGAACACCTTTTAGGCCTATCCTAATATGTTGTGAAATTCAAACATTTTCATCTAAAATGTTTACAATGGGTAATGTTAACTAATATAAATTAGTTGTTAAGTTTGGGCCTAAAATACAAATATATCACTCTGTCCTTCCCTCATTCTTTCATGTTTCTGATATCTAAAACATATTTCATATGAACGTCCCTCTTTGAATCCTCATTTTTTAAAACAAAGCATAGCTTGACATCATAAATAACTTGCATACTATATTTGGACACTTAAAAAAAAACTTTCCTCATTCTTAAGTTTAAAAATTAAATGCTGACAGTTACTTAAATTTCCCATTATCTCTGTATCAGGACTGAACTATGAGTAATGGTGGTATAGTACTGTAGCACTGTCCTCCCATTGTTCATCGATTTGCTCGAGTGGGCCCAGTAACATCTCCATTGTGAGACTTGTTACTATGTTTCGCATATAGAATATGTCACGGGTAGCTTGCCAGGCTTTGCTGTGCAGGCGAGATACTTGTGCCGGCGAAATACTCTCGGTAGCTTTCTGGGCTCTCTGAGAGGGGTGGAAGAATCAAACCCTACTAGGCCAGCCGGCTGCATACAAGGCAAATGCCCTACCGCTGTGCTATCACTCCACCCTAACGGTGGTGTATAAACTAATATAAAGCTTTTCCTCTTGTTTACATCTTTTTGCACTTCCTTTCACCTACTTGATAGTTCATTATAATATTGTTTATTGCTGAGGTTTTAGTGAACCAGGGTTAGTAACCCTTATTTCAGAAGTTCTATTTATAATTATGTAAAAAATTAGAATAAATTAATGTGTTTATGATTTTGATTAATGCTGTATCCTCTTCATTGATGTCAAAATCCTATGAGATTATCTAGGAGAGAGAGAATAAATGGGGAATATGTAAAATTTAAGTTTGAATATTGTATTCTTAATAGTTATTAGGCATTAAAACTGTAATTAATGGAGTTCATATATCTCTTGTTCCTAGCTCTTATTTGTAGGTTCTGAGTTTTGAAAATATTAGATTTTCCTTATTTTTCTTATTTTCAGACATGGAAACAATACATGCTGTTTGGATAGGACACCAAAAAATTATTAATGAATAAAGACTGAATAGGCAACCAGAAGTTGAAAATGAATAAAAATGATAAACATGTGTGTTTTCCAAATACCACCCTATAATCTAGCTCATTTTCCACTTAATAAAGGTATTCATTAGCATAGAGAAAATATGTGTAACTGATTTTATAAAAGTAGCAAAGCCATAATATTGAAATAATTGCTTGCTGTGTAGTTCATCATTGAGAATATTATATGGATTATCTCACTATTATAAAACTCATTCATAACTGTCAAATTGCATTTTCTGTATATTCTATAGATAAGTGTTTTTTTTCCCCATGTCCATCTATGCTCGGGGCTTAATCCTGTGTATGTGTTCAGGAATCACTCCTGGCAGGCTCAAGGTACTATCTGGGGTGCCAGGGATAAAACCCATCAGCCACATGCAAGGCAAGTGTCTTATCTGCTGTACTAGCTATCTAACTCCAAGAAATATAATTTTTAAAGGAGCTGATAAACTTTTCTACTGAGTGACTCAGCATGTCAATTTAGGTATTTTTGATTTCAAAGATCAAATTCTTTTCATAATACACTTCAGTTCCCTTAACATAGAGAGCCATTCCCTTATTCTTGAAATTTTTGTTTTTCCTGTCTCTTTGTGATTAATTTTTCCAGAATTATATCTCCCAACTTATTTTTATATAAACCTTTCTGCATAATTACATATCACCTTTTTTATTAGTGAAATACCATGAAGTACACTCATAGACTTATAAATTTTTGTGCTTGGGTTACAGTCATACAAAGATCAAGTACCCATCCCTCCACCAGTGGCCATTCTCTACCCCCACCAATCCCAGTATCCATTCCACCTCTCCATCCCCCCATCCCACCCTGTCTCTGTGGCAGAGCACTCCCTTTTGTTGTCTCTCTCCTTTTGGGTGCTGTGGTTTGCAAAAGAGACATTGGGTAGCAATCATGTTTGGTCTATAGTCTACTTTCAGCATGCATCTCCCATCCTGGGCGGATCTTCCCAACACCCTTTATTTGTGCTCCCTTCTCTATCTGAGCTGCTTTTATCCCTAGAGTATGTGGCTGGCCACCAAGCCATGGAGTGAACCTCCAGGTATTTATCACAGCTATACTTGGGTTTTAGTCTCCTATTTTGTTACTTTATGTTCCCCAGATGAATGCAATCTTTCTATGTCTGTCCCTCTCTTTCTGGCTCATTTTGCTTTGCATGATATTTTACATGTAGTACCATTTGTATGTAAATTTCATGACTTCATTTTTTCTAACAGCTACATAGTACTCCATTGTGTAGATGTACCAAAGTTTCTTTAACCAGTCATCTGTTATCGGGCACTAAGGTTTTTTTCCATATTCTAGCTATTGTAAAGTGTGCTGCAATGAACAAACAAGTGCAGATGTCACTTTGACTATACTTTTTTGCCTCTCGTGGGTATATTCCCAGGAGTAGCATTGCTGGGTCAAATGGGATCTCAATTTCTAGTTTTTTGAGAATCGTCCATACTGTTTTCAAAAAGGGTTGAACCAGTCAGCATTCCACCAGCAGTGAAGGAGGGCCCCTTTCTCGCCACATCGGCGCCAACACAGGTTGCTTTTGTTCTTTTGGATGTGGGCCAGTCTCTGTGGTGTGAAATGATACCTCATTGTTGTTTTGATCTGCATCTTCCTGATGATTAATGATGTAGAGCATTTTCTCATGTGCCTTTTAGCCATTCAGATTTCTTCTTTGAGAAAGTTTCTGTTCATTTTGTTGCCCCATTTTTTGATGGGGTTGGATGTTTTCTTCTTGTGGAGTTCAACCAGTACTTTGTATATCCTTGATATCAACCCCTTGTCGGATTTGTATTTGGCAACTATCCTTTCCCATTCTGTAGACTGTCTTTGTATTTTGGTCACTGTTTCTTTTGGAGTGCAGAAGCTTCTTAGTTTAAGATAGTCCCATTTGTCTATCTCTGTTTTCACTTGCTTGGACAGTGGCATGACATCTTTGAAGATATCGTTAGCTTCAATGTCATGGAGGGTTTTGCCAACTTTGTCTTCAATGTACCTTATGGATTCCGGTCTGATGTTGAAGTCTTTAATCCATTTTGATCTTACTTTTATACATGGTGTTAGGGAGAGATCTGAGTC